CCCCAAATATTTTTTTTTCATTTTTCGTTTATTTTTGGTGTAACTAACTCCAAAAGGTTGGAAAAGAGTTCCTACAAAGGTTTTGGACAGTGATTTTAACCTTAACGCCAAAAACCTTAAACCTTACCCTAGCCCCATAACCTTATACCCGGGTATTACCTTAAGGAAGCCCGAACACCCCAAATTTTTTTTTTTCATTTTTCTTTTTTTTTAGGTCTAACTACTCCAAAAGGTTGGAAAAGAGCTCCTACACAGGTTTTGGACAGTGATTTTAACCCCAATGCCAAAAACCTTAAACCATACCAAAGCCCCATAATCTAATACCCGGGTATTACCTTCAGGAAGCCCAAACACCCCAAATATTTCTTTTTCATTTTACAATTTTTTTTTTTGGTGTAACTAACTCCAAAAGGTTGGAAAAGAGTTCCTACAAAGGTTTTGGACAGTGATTTTAACCCTAACGCCAAAAACATTAAACCTTTCCCTAGCCCCATAATCTAATACCTTCAGGAAGACCGAACACCTCAAATATTTTTTTTTCATTTTTCGTTTATTTTTGGTGTAACTAACTCCAAAAGGTTGGAAAAGAGTTCCTACAAAGGTTTTGGACAGGGATTTTAACCCTCACGCCAAAAACCTTAAACCTTACCAAAGCCCCATAACCTAATACGCGGGTATTACCTTCAGGAAGCCCGAACACCCCAAATATTTCTTTTTCATTTTTCGTTTTTTTTTAGGTCTAACTAACTCCAAAAGGTTGGAAAAGAGTTCCTACAAAGGTTTTGGACAGTGATTTTAACCCTAATGCAAAAAAACCTTAAACCATACCAAAGCCCCATAACCTAATACCCGGGTATTACCTTCAGGAAGCCCGAACACCCCAAATATTTCTTTTTCATTTTACAATTTTTTTTTTGGTGTAACTAACTCCAAAAGGTTGGAAAAGAGTTCCTACAAAGGTTTTGGACAGTGATTTTAACCCTAACGCCAAAAAACTTAAACCTTACCCTAGCCCCAAAACCTAATACCCGGGTATTACCTTGAGGAAGCCCAAAACCCCAAATATTTTTTTTTCATTTTCATTTTTTTGGGTCTAACTAACTCCAAAAGGTTGGAAAAGAGTTCCTACAAAGGTTTTGGACAGGGATTTTAACCCTAACGCCAAAAACCTTAAACCTTACCCTAGCCCCATAACCTTATACCCGGGTATTACCTTAAGGAAGCCTTAACAACCCAAACATTTTTTTTCTTTTTTCGTTTTTTTTTTTGGTCTAACTAACTCCAAAAGGTTGGAAAAGAGTTCCTACAAAGGTTTTGGACAGTGATTTTAACCCTAATGCAAAAAACCTTAAACCTTACCCGAGCCCCGTAACCTAATACCCGGGTATTACCTTAAGGAAGCCCTTAACAACCCAAAAAATTTTTTTTTTTTTTGTTTTTTTTTTGGTCTAACAACTCCGAAAGGTTGGAAAAGAGTTCCTACAAAGGTTTTGGACAGTGACTTTAACCCTAACGCCAAAAACCTTTAACCTTTCCCTAGCCCCAAAACCTAATACCCGGGTATTACCTTCAGGAAGCCCGAAAACCACAAATATTTTTTTTCATTTTTCCTTTTTTTTTTGGTCTAACTAACTCCAAAAGGTTGGAAAAGAGTTCCTACAAAGGTTTTGGACAGTGATTTTAACCCTAACGCCAAAAACCTTCAACCTTACCCTAGCCCCAAAACCTAATACCCGGGTATTACCTTCAGGAAGCGCGAAATCCCCAACTATTTTTTTTTCTTTTATCTTTTTTTTTGGTCTAACTAACTCCAAAAGGTTGGAAAAGAGTTCCTACAAAGGTTTTGGACAGTGATTTTAACCCTAACAATAAAAACCTTAAACCTTACCATAGCCCCATAACCTAATACCCGGGTATTACCTTCAGGAAGCCCGAACACCCCAAATATTTTATTTTCATTTTCCTTTTTTTTTTTGGTCAAACTAAATCCAAAAGGTTGGAAAAGAGTTCTTTTAAAGGTTTTGGACAGTGATTTTAACCCTAACGCCAAAAACCTTAAACCTTAACCTAGCCCCAAAACCTGATACCCGGGTATTACCTTCAGGAGGCCCGAAAACCACAAATATTTTTTTTTCATTTTTCATTTTTTTTTGGTCTAACTAACTCCAAAAGGTTGGAAAAGAGTTCCTACAAAGGTTTTGGACAGTGATTTTAACCCTCACGCCAAAAACCTTAAACCTTAACCTAGCCCCAAAACCTGATACCCGGGTATTACCTTCAGGAAGCCCGAAAACCACAAATATTTTTTTTTTCATTTTTCATTTTTTTTTGTCTAACTTACTCCAAAAGGTTGGAAAAGAGTTCTTACAAAGGTTTTGGACAGTAATTTTAACTCTAACGCCAAAAAACCTTAAACCTTACCCTAGCCCCATAACCTAATACAAGGGTATTACCTTCAGGAAGCCTTTACACCCCAAAAAAAATTTATTTCATTTTTCGTTTTTTTTGGTCTAACTAACTCCAAAAAGTCCTGAAACATGTTCCTAAAAAGGTTTTGGACAGTGATTTTAACCCTAACGCCAAAAACCTTCAACCTTTCCCTAGCCCCAAAACCTAATACCCGGGTATTACCTTCAGGAAGCCCGAAAACCACAATTATTATTTTTTGTTTTTCATTTTTTTTTTTTGGTCTAACTAACTCCAAAAGGTTGGAAAAGAGTTCCTATAAAGGTTTTGGACAGTGATTTTAACCCTAACACTAAAAACCTTAAACCTTACCATAGCCCCATAACCTAATACCCGGGTATTACCTTCAGGAACCCCGAAGACCCCAAATATTTTTTTTTTTCATTTTTGGTTTTTTTTTGGTCTAACTAACTCCAAAAGGTTGGAAAAGAGTTCCTACAAAGGTTTTGGACAGTGATTTTAACCCTAACGCCAAAAACCTTAAACCTTACCCTAGCCCCAAAACCTAATACCGGGGTATTACCTTCAGGAAGGCCGAACACCCCAAATTTTTTTTTTTTCATTTTTCGTTATTTTTTGGTCTAACTAATTCCAAAATGTCTGAAACATGTTCCTAAAAAGGTTTTGGACAGTAATTTTAACTCTAAAGCCAAAAACCTTAAACCTTACCCTAGCCCATAACCTAATACCCGGGTATTACCTTCAGGAAGCCCGAAAACCCCAAATATTTTTTTTTCATTTTTCGTTTTTTTTTTGGTCTAACTAACTCCGAAAGGGTTGGAAAAGAGTTCCTACAAAGGTTTTGGACAGTGATTTTAACCCTCACGCCAAAAAACTTAAACCTTACCCTAGCCCCAAAACCTAATACCCGGTTATTACCTAAAGGAAGCCCTACCACCCCCAAAAAAATTTTATTATTATTTTTTGTTTTTTTTCTGGTCTAACTAACTCCAAAAAGTCCTGAAACATGTTCCTAAAAAGGTTTTGGACAGTGATTTTAACCCTAACGCCAAAAACCTTCAACCTTACCCTAGCCCCAAAACCTAATACCCGGGTATTACCTTCAGGAAGCCCGAAAACCACAAATATTGTTTTTTCATTTTTCCTTTTTTTCTTGTCTAACTAACTCCAAAAGGTTGGAAAAGAGTTCCTACAAAGGTTTTGGACAGTGATTTTAACCCTAACACTAAAAACCTTAAACCTTACCATAGCCCCATAACCTAATACCCGGGTATTACCTTCAGGAAGCGCGAAATCCCCAACTATTTTTTTTTCTTTTATCTTTTTTTTTGGTCTAACTAACTCCAAAAGGTTGGAAAAGAGTTCCTACAAAGGTTTTGGACAGTGATTTTAACCCTCACGCCAAAAACCTTAAACCTTACCCTAGCCCCATAACCTAATACCCGGGAATTACCGTCAGGAAGTACAAACAACCCAAATATATTTTTTTCATTTTTCATTTTTTTTTGGTCTAACTCCAAAAGGTTGGAAACGAGTTCCTACAAAGGTTTTGGACACTGATTTTAACCCAAACGCAAAAAACCTTAAACCTTACCCTAAACCCATAACCTAATACATGAATTACCTTCAGGAAGCCCGAACAACCCAAATATTTTTTTTTCATTTTTCATTTTTTTTTGGTCTAACTAACTCCAAAAGGTTGGAAACGAGTTTCTACAAAGGTTTTGGACAGTGATTTCAACCCAAACGCCAAAAAACCTTAAACCTTACCCTAGCCCCATAACCTAATACAAGGGTATTACCTTCAGGAAGCCTTTACACCCCAAAAAAAATTTATTTCATTTTTAATTTTTTGGTCAAACTAACTCCAAAAGGTTGGAAAAGAGTTCCTACAAAGGTTTTGGACAGTGATTTTAACCCTAACGCCAAAAACCTTAAACCTTTCCAAAGCCTCATAACCTAATACCCGGGTATTACCTTCAGGAAGCCCGAAAACCCCCAATTTTTTTTTCCTTTTTCATTTTTTTTTTGGTCTAACTAACTCCAAAAGGTTGGAAAAGAGTTCCTATAAAGGGTTTGGACAGTGATTTTAACCCTAATGCCAAAAACCTTAAACCTTTCCAAAGCCCCATAAACTAATACTAATAAGGAAGCCCGAACACCCCAAATATATTTTTTTTTAATTAATCATTTTTTTTGGTCTAACTAACTCCAAAAGGTTGGAAAAGAGTTCCTACAAAGGTTTTGGACAGTGATTTTAACCCTCACGCTAAAAACCTTAAACCTTAACCTAGCCCCAAAACCTGATACCCGGGTATTAACTTCAGGAGGCCCGAAAACCACAAATATTTTTTTTTCATTTTTCATTTTTTTTTGGTCTAACTCCAAAAGGTTGGAAAAGAGTTCTTACAAAGGTTTTGGACAGTAATTTTAACTCTAACGCCAAAAAACCTTAAACCTTACCCTAGCCCCATAACCTAATAAAAGGGTATTACCTTCAGGAAGCCCGAAAACCCCATATATTTTTTTTTCATTTTTCGTTTTTTTTTTGGTCTAACTATCTCCAAAAGGTTGGAAAAGAGTTCCTACAAAGGTTTTGGACAGTGATTTTAACCCTAACGCCAAAAACCTTAAACCTTACCCTAGCCCCAAAACCCAATACCCGGGTATTACCTTCAGGAACCCCGAAGACCCCAAATATTTTTTTTTTCATTTTTGGTTTTTTTTTGGTCTAACTAACTCCAAAATGTTGGAAAAGAGTTCCTACAAAGGTTTTGGACAGTGATTTTAACCCTAACGCCAAAAACCTTAAACCTTACCCTAGCCCCAAAACCTAATACCGGGGTATTACCTTCAGGAAGGCCGAACACCTCCAATTTTTTTTTTTTCATTTTTCGTTATTTTTTGGTCTAACTAATTCCAAAATGTCTGAAACATGTTCCTAAAAAGGTTTTGGACAGTAATTTTAACTCTAAAGCCAAAAACCTTAAACCTTACCCTAGCCCATAACCTAATACCCGGGTATTACCTTCAGGAAGCCCGAAAACCCCAAATATTTTTTTTTCATTTTTCATTTTTTTTTGGTCTAACTCCAAAAGGTTGGAAAAGAGTTCCTACAAAGGTTTTGGACAGTGATTTTAACCCTCACGCCAAAAAACTTAAACCTTACCCTAGCCCCAAAACCTAATACCCGGTTATTACCTAAAGGGAGCCCTACCACCCCAAAAAAAATTTTATTATTATTTTTTGTTTTTTTTTGGTCTAACGAACTCCAAAAAGTCCTGAAACATGTTCCTAAAAAGGTTTTGGACAGTGATTTTAACCCTAACGCCAAAAACCTTCAACCTTACCCTAGCCCCAAAACCTAATACCCGGGTATTACCTTCAGGAAGCCCGAAAACCACAAATATTGTTTTTTCATTTTTCCTTTTTTTCTTGTCTAACTAACTCCAAAAGGTTGGAAAAGAGTTCCTACAAAGGTTTTGGACAGTGATTTTAACCCTCACGCCAAAAACCTTAAACCTTACCCTAGCCCCATAACCTAATACCGAATTACCGTCAGGAAGTACAAACAACCCAAATATATTTTTTTCATTTTTCATTTTTTTTTGGTCTAACTCCAAAAGGTTGGAAACGAGTTCCTACAAAGGTTTTGGACACTGATTTTAACCCAAATGCAAAAAACCTTAAACCTTACCCTAAACCCATAACCTAATACATGAATTACCTTCAGGAAGCCCGAACAACCCAAATATTTTTTTTTCATTTTTCATTTTTTTTTGGTCTAACTAACTCCAAAAGGTTGGAAACGAGTTTCTACAAAGGTTTTGGACAGTGATTTCAACCCAAACGCCAAAAAACCTTAAACCTTACCCTAGCCCCATAACCTAATACAAGGGTATTACCTTCAGGAAGCCTTTACACCCCAAAAAAAATTTATTTCATTTTTAATTTTTTGGTCAAACTAACTCCAAAAGGTTGAAAAAGAGTTCCTACAAAGGTTTTGGACAGTGATTCTAACCCTAACGCCAAAAACCTTAAACCTTTCCTAAGCCTCATAACCTAATACCCGGGTATTACCTTCAGGAAGCCCGAAAACCCCCAATTTTTTTTTCCTTTTTCATTTTTTTTTTTGGTCTAACTAACTCCAAAAGGTTTGAAAAGAGTTCCTACAAAGGTTTTGGACAGTGATTTTAACCCTAATGCCAAAAACCTTAAACCTTTCCAAAGCCCCATAAACTAATACTAATAAGGAAGCCCGAACACCCCAAATATATTTTTTTTAATTAATCATTTTTTTTGGTCTAACTAACTCCAAAAGGTTGGAAAAGAGTTCCTACAAAGGTTTTGGACAGTGATTTTAACCCTAACGCCAAAAACCTTAAACCTTACCCTAGCCCCAAAACCTAATACCGGGGTATTACCTTCAGGAAGGCCGAACACCCCAATTTTTTTTTTTTTCATCTTTCGTTATTTTTTGGTCTAACTAATTCCAAAAGGTCTGAAACATGTTCCTAAAAAGGTTTTGGACAGTAATTTTAACTCTAACGCCAAAAAACCTTGAACCTTACCCTAGCCCCATAACCTAATACCTGGGTATTACCTTCAGGAAGCCCGAAAACCCCAAATATTTTTTTTTCATTTTTCGTTTTTTTTGGTCTAACTAACTCCGAAAGGGTTGGAAAAGAGTTCCTACAAAGGTTTTGGACACTGATTTTAACCCTCACGCCAAAAAACTTAAACCTTACCCTAGCCCCAAAACCTAATACCCGGGTATTACCTTCAGGAAGCCCGAACACCCCAAATATTTTATTTTCATTTTTCTTTTTTTTTTGGTCAAACTAAATCCAAAAGGTTGGAAAAGAGTTCGTATAAAGGTTTTGGACAGGGATTTTAACCCTAACGCCAAAAACCTTAAACCTTAACCTAGCCCCAAAACCTGATACCCGGGTATTACCTTCAGGAGGCCCGAAAACCACAAATTTTTTTTTTTCATTTTTCATTTTTTTTTGGTCTAACTTACTCCAAAAGGTTGGAAAAGAGTTCTTACAAAGGTTTTGGACAGTAATTTTAACTCTAACGCCAAAAAACCTTAAACCTTACCCTAGCCCCATAACCTAATACAAGGGTATTACCTTCAGGAAGCCTTTACACCCCAAAAAAAATTTATTTCATTTTTCGTTTTTTTTTTGGTCTAACTAACTCCAAAAGGTTGGAAAAGAGTTCCTACAAAGGTTTTGGACAGTGATTTTAACCCTCACGCCAAAAACCTTAAACCTTAACCTAGCCCCAAAACCTGATACCCGGGTATTACCTTCAGGAAGCCTTTACACCCCAAAAAAAATTTATTTCATTTTTCGTTTTTTTTTGGTCTAACTAACTCCAAAAGGTTGGAAAAGAGTTCCTACAAAGGTTTTAGACAGTGATTTTAACCCTCACGCCAAAAACCTTAAACCTTTTCAAAGCTTCATAACCTAATTCCCGGGTATTACCTTCAGGAAGCCCGAAAACCCCAAATATTTTTTTTTCATTTTTCGTTTTTTTTTTGGTCTAACTAACTCCAAAAGGTTGGAAAAGAGTTCCTATAAAGGGTTTGGACAGTGATTTTAACCCTAATGCCAAAAACCTTAAACCTTTCCAAAGCCCCATAAACTAATACTAATAAGGAAGCCTTTACACCCCAAAAAAAATTTATTTCATTTTTCGTTTTTTTTTGGTCTAACTAACTCCAAAAGGTTGGAAAAGAGTCCCTACAAAGGTTTTAGACAGTGATTTTAACCTTAACGCCAAAAACCTTAAACCTTTCCAAAGCCTCATAACCTAATACCCGGGTATTACCTTCAGGAAGCCCGAAAACCCCAAATATTTTTTTTTCATTTTTCGTTTTTTTTTTGGTCTAACTAACTCCGAAAGGGTTGGAAAAGAGTTCCTACAAAGGTTTTGGACAGTGATTTTAACCCTCACGCCAAAAAACTTAAACCTTACCCTAGCCCCAAAACCTAATATCGGGGTATTACCTTCAGGAAGCCCGAACACCCCAAATAGTTTTTTTTAATTTTTCTTTTTTTTTAGGTCTAACTAACTCCAAAAGGTTGGAAAAGAGTTCCTACACAGGTTTTGGACAGTGATTTTAACCCTCACGCCAAAAAACTTAAACCTTACCCTAGCCCCAAAACCTAATACCCGGGTATTACCTTCAGGAAGCCCGAAAACCCCAAATATTTTTTTTTCATTTTTCGTTTTTTTTTGGTCTAACTAACTCCGAAAGGGTTGGAAAAGAGTTCCTACAAAGGTTTTGGACAGTGATTTTAACCCTCACGCCAAAAACCTTAAACCTTAACCTAGCCCCAAAACCTGATACCCGGGTATTACCTTCAGGAAGCCTTTACACCCCAAAAAAAATTTATTTCATTTTTCGTTTTTTTTTGGTCTAACTAACTCCAAAAGGTTGGAAAAGAGTTCCTACAAAGGTTTTAGACAGTGATTTTAACCCTCACGCCAAAAACCTTAAACCTTTTCAAAGCTTCATAACCTAATTCCCGGGTATTACCTTCAGGAAGCCCGAAAACCCCAAATATTTTTTTTTCATTTTTCGTTTTTTTTTTGGTCTAACTAACTCCAAAAGGTTGGAAAAGAGTTCCTATAAAGGGTTTGGACAGTGATTTTAACCCTAATGCCAAAAACCTTAAACCTTTCCAAAGCCCCATAAACTAATACTAATAAGGAAGCCCGAACACCCCAAATATTTTTTTTTTAAATTAATCATTTTTTTTTGGTCTAACTAACTCCAAAAGGTTGGAAAAGAGTTCCTACAAAGGTTTTGGACAGTGATTTTAACCCTCACGCCAAAAAACTTAAACCTTACCCTAGCCCCAAAACCTAATACCCGGGTATTACCTTCAGGAAGCCCGAAAACCCCAAATATTTTTTTTTCATTTTTCGTTTTTTTTTGGTCTAACTAACTCCGAAAGGGTTGGAAAAGAGTTCCTACAAAGGTTTTGGACAGTGATTTTAACCCTCACGCCAAAAAACTTAAACCTTACCCTAGACCCAAAACCTAATACCCGGGTATTACCTTCAGGAAGCCCGAAAACCCCAAATATTTTTTTTTCATTTTTCGTTTTTTTTTGGTCTAACTAACTCCAAAAGGTTGGAAAAGAGTTCCTACAAAGGTTTTGGACAGTGATTTTAACCCTCACGCCAAAAAACTTAAACCTTACCCTAGCCCCAAAACCTAATACCCGGGTATTACCTTCAGGAAGCCCGAAAACCCCAAATATTTTTTTTTCATTTTTCGTTTTTTTTTTGGTCTAACTAACTCCGAAAGGGTTGGAAAAGAGTTCCTACAAAGGTTTTGGACAGTGATTTTAACCCTCACGCCAAAAAACTTAAACCTTACCCTAGCCCCAAAACCTAATACCGGGGTATTACCTTCAGGAAGCCCGAACACCCCAAATAGTTTTTTTTAATTTTTCTTTTTTTTTAGGTCTAACTAACTCCAAAAGGTTGGAAAAGAGTTCCTACAAAGGTTTTGGACAGTGATTTTAACCCTCACGCCAAAAAACTTAAACCTTACCCTAGCCCCAAAACCTAATACCCGGGTATTACCTTCAGGAAGCCCGAAAACCCCAAATATTTTTTTTTCATTTTTCGTTTTTTTTTGGTCTAACTAACTCCGAAAGGGTTGGAAAAGAGTTCCTACAAAGGTTTTGGACAGTGATTTTAACCCTCACGCCAAAAAACTTAAACCTTACCCTAGCCCCAAAACCTAATACCGGGGTATTACCTTCAGGAAGCCCGAACACCCCAAATATTTTTTTTTCATTTTTCTTTTTTTTTAGGTCTAACTAACTCCAAAAGGTTGGAAAAGAGTTCCTACACAGGTTTTGGACAGTGATTTTAACCCTCACGCCAAAAAACTCAAACCTTACCCTAGCCCCAAAACCTAATACCCGGGTATTACCTTCAGGAAGCCCGAAAACCCCAAATATTTTTTTTTCATTTTTCGTTTTTTTTTTGGTCTAACTAACTCCGAAAGGGTTGGAAAAGAGTTCCTACAAAGTTTTTGGACAGTGATTTTAACCCTCACGCCAAAAAACTTAAACCTTACCCTAGCCCCAAAACCTAATACCCCGGTATTACCTTCAGGAGGCCCGAACACCCCAAATATTTTATTTTCATTTTTCTTTTTTTTTTGGTCAAACTAAATCCAAAAGGTTGGAAAAGAGTTCTTATAAAGGTTTTGGACAGTGATTTTAACCCTAACGCCAAAAACCTTAAACCTTAACCTAGCCCCAGCCCCAAAACCTTATACCCGGGTATTACCTTCAGGAGGCCCGAAAACCACAAATATTTTTTTTTCATTTTTTATTTTTTTTTGGTCTAACTAATTCCAAAAGGTTGGAAAAGAGTTCCTACAAAGGTTTTGCACAGTGATTTTAACCCTCACGCCAAAAACCTTAAACCTTAACCTAGCCCCAAAACCTGATACCCGGGTATTACCTTCAGGAAGCCCGAACACCCCAAATATTTTTTTTTCATTTTTCTTTTTTTTTGGTCTAACTAACTCCAAAAGGTTGGAAAAGAGTTCCTACAAAGGTTTTGGACAGTGATTTTAACCCTAACGCCAAAAACCTTAAACCTTACCCTAGCCCCATAACCTTATACCCGGGTATTACCTTCAGGAAGCCCAAACACCCCAAATATTTCTTTTTCATTTTACAATTTTTTTTTGGTGTAACTAACTCCATAAGGTCTGAAACATGTTCCTAAAAAGATTTTGGACAGTGATTTTAACCCTAACGCCAAAAACATTAAACCTTTCCCTAGCCCCATAATCTAATACCTTCAGGAAGCCCGAACACCCCAAATATTTTTTTTTCATTTTTCGTTTTTTTTTAGGTCTAACTAACTCCAAAAGGTTGGAAAAGAGTTCCTACACAGGTTTTGGACAGTGATTTTAACCCTAATGCCAAAAACCTTAAACCATACCAAAGCCCCATTACCTAATACCCAGGTATTACCTTCAGGAAGACCGAACACCCCAAACATTTTTTTTTCTTTTTTCTTTTTTTTTTGGTCTAACTAACTCCAAATGGTTGGAAAAGAGTTCCTACAAAGGTTTTGGACACTGATTTTAACCCTCACGCCAAAAACCTTAAACCTTATTATAGCCCCATAACCTAATACCCGGGTATTACCTTCAGGAAGCCAGAACACCCCAAATATTTTTTTTTTCTTTTTCTTTTTTTTTTTTGGTCAAACTAAATCCAAAAGATTGGAAAAGAGTTCCTATAAACGTTTTGGACAGTGATTTTAACCCTAACGCCAAAAACCTTTAACTTTACCCTAGCCCCAAAACCCAATAACCGGGTATTACCTTCAGGAAGCCCGAAGACCCCAAATATTTTTTTTTCATTTTTGGTTTTTTTTTGGTCTAACTAACTCCAAAAGGTTGGAAAAGAGTTCCTACAAAGGTTTTGGACAGTGATTTTAACCCTAACGCCAAAAACCTTAAACCTTACCCTAGCCCCAAAACCTAATACCGGGGTATTACCTTCAGGAAGCCCGAAGACCCCAAATATTTTTTTTCCATTTTTCGTTTTTTTTTGGTCTAACTAATTCCAAAAGGTCTGAAACATGTTCCTAAAAAGGTTTTGGACAGTGAATTTAACCCTCACGCCAAAAACCTTAAACCTTACCCTATCCCCATAACCTAATACCCGGGTATTACCTTCAGGAAGCCCGAACACCCCAAATATTTTATTTTCATTTTTCTTTTTTTTGGTCAAACTAAATCCAAAAGGTTGGAAAAGAGTTCTTATAAAGGTTTTGGACAGTGATTTTAACCCTAACGCCAAAAACCTTAAACCTTAACCTAGCCCCAAAACCTGATACCCGGGTATTACCTTCAGGAGGCCCGAAAACCACAAATATTTTTTTTTCATTTTTTATTTTTTTTTGGTCTAACTAATTCCAAAAGGTTGGAAAAGAGTTCCTACAAAGGTTTTGCACAGTGATTTTAACCCTCACGCCAAAAACCTTAAACCTTAACCTAGCCCCAAAACCTGATACCCGGGTATTACCTTCAGGAAGCCCGAACACCCCAAATATTTTTTTTTCATTTTTCATTTTTTTTGGTCTAACTAACTCCAAAAGGTTGGAAAAGAGTTCCTACAAAGGTTTTGGACAGTGATTTTAACCCTCACGCCAAAAACCTTAAACCTTACCATAGCCCCATTACCTAATAGCCGGGTATTACCTTCAGGAAGACTGAAAACCCGAAATATTTTTTTTTAATTTTTCATTTTTTTTTGGTCTAAATAACTCCAAAAGGTTGGAAAAGAGTTCCTACAAAGGTTTTGGACAGTGATTTTTACCCTAACGCCGAAAGACTCAAACGTTTCCAAAGCCCCAAAACCTAATACCCGGGTATTACCTTCAGGAAGCCCGAACACCCCAAATATGTTTTTTCCATTTTTCATTTTTTTTTGGTCTAACTAATTCCAAAAGGTTGGAAAAGAGTTCCTACAGAGGTTTTGGACAGTGATTTTAACCCTAACGCCAAAAACCTTTAACTTTACCCTAGCCCCAAAACCTGATACCCGGGTATTACCTTCAGGAAGCCCGAAAACCCCCATTTTTATTTTTCATTTTTCATTTTTTTTTTGGTCTAGCTAACTCCAAAAGGTTGGAAAAGAGTTCCTACAAAGGTTTTGGACAGTGATTTTAATCCTAACGCCAAAAACCTTAAACCTTAACCTAGCCCCAAAACCTTATACCCGGGTATTACCTTCAGGAGGCCCGAAAACCACAAATATTTTTTTTTCATTTTTTATTTTTTTTTGGTCTAACTAATTCCAAAAGGTTTGAAAAGAGTTCCTACAAAGGTTTTGCACAGTGATTTTAACCCTCACGCCAAAAACCTTAAACCTTAACCTAGCCCCAAAACCTGATACCCGGGTATTACCTTCAGGAAGCCCGAACACCCCAAATATTTTTTTTTCATTTTCATTTTTTTTGGTCTAACTAACTCCAAAAGGTTGGAAAAGAGTTCCTACAAAGGTTTTGGACAGTGATTTTAACCCTAACACCAAAAACCTTAAACCTTACCCTAGCCCCATAACCTTATACCCGGGTATTACCTTCAGGAAGCCCGAACACCCCAAATATATATATTTTATTTTTATTTTTCATTTGTTTTTTGGTCTAACTCACTCCAAAAGGTTGGAAAAGAGTTCCTACAAAGGTTTTGGACAGTGATTTTAACCCTCACGCCAAAAACCTTAAACCTTACCATAGCCCCATTACCAAATACCCGGGTATTACCTTCAGGAAACCTTAAGGAAGACTGA